CTGTGTTGCATAAGAAAGCAGGCTGAGCAGGGGCCAGGGGAGCAAGCCAGTAAGCAGCGTTCCTCCATGGCCTGTGTTCCAGCTCCTGCCTCCAGGTTCCTGCCCTGAGTTCCTACCTTGGGCTCCCTGATGAACTGCAACCTGGGAGATGTAAGACAAATAAACCATTTCCTCCCCAAGTTGGTAGTGGTCAGTATGTTTTGTCACAGCAATGAAGAACAAACCAGGACACCTACCAACGCCTAGACACCCTGAAACTGAGCACCCCTGGTGCGGGGGCCGAGGGCAGTGGGAAGGTAACGAGACAAGTGAAGGCTCCCAGCACTGAACCGGATGCTGGGTGGAAGCAGATGAGTTCTCCGAGGCAGAGCCTCCTCCCACCTGGCACACACAGTGGCAGGGGCAGGCTGAGCCAACACCACACTCCAGGACGGCTGCAGAACCCGGACAGAAGCTGTGTTCCCAGGCAGAAGACCTCCCGGGCTCCCTAGCCCACACCCACATGTGCAGTGAAAGCAAAAAGATTACACTCAATATTACGTAAAAATACTATAAGAAGGGAAAGAGAAAAGTAATCACAAGAAACGAAAGGAAACAAAAAACCACACACACACACACACACACACACACACACACACACACACACAACTAGGGAGCATCCCTAATTCCCAAATCCAAGAAGCTTTGAAATCTGAATCTCTGAGCATTAACATGACATCACCAGTGTCTGCTGTCTACCTGACAGGGGCAGGCAATGCACAGGTTAACTAAAAGCACTGTATAAACAGCCTTGGGCTGCATCCAGATCTGCACGTACAGATAGATGTAACATAAATACAATCTGTATTCAGACAGTGGGTCTAGCCCCGTGGTATCCCATTTTGCATGTACAAGTATTCCAAATTCCAAAACCAGAGAACCCAAATTCTGAAATGCTTCTCATTGCCTTTCAGGAAAGAGATGTTGAGTGCGTGTCTGGAATCACAGAAAGGGAGGCAGGTGAAAATCTCGGAAGAGAGTCCCCAGAACGCAAGTGTCCATTTTAAAACAGGAAGTGCCATCAAGTCTGGAGGGAAAAAGTCACAAGAGAATAGAAAATTTAAACAAACTTGCTTTCTGTCATTTGGCAATGTGCTGTATTTCTCCAAACCAATAAAGTTCTATGTCTCATATTTATGTTGCAAAATTAAATGAAAATGTTCTGGGCTTTTGAACAAAAAGCCCACATTGCCCTTTATCATGAACTGAATTGTGACTTTCTCCCCAAAGAAATCCACGTATTAAAACCTAACTCAGAAGACTTTCCTCCTTCCCCCGCCACCTCTCTTCCTGTCTCTCCTCCTGCCTCTCAGCCTCTCCCCCCCCCGCTTCCTCCCCACCTCCTTTCTTCCCCCCTCCCTCTCTCCCGTCTCTACATTAGCACCAGGAGAGGGGTGGGCGTCAGAGCAAGAATGCAGCCATCTAAAAGCCAAAAGAGGGCAAGCATCAGGACCCGGCCCTCACAGACCTTAATTGCGGCCTCCACAGCGACACCTGTGTCCTCACCTATGCCATTTCGTCAAGGCAGCAGGCAAAGCAGACCACCGACCACCTCAGGTACGAAAACTGAGCCTCTGCCTCAACATGGCCTCTTTAACTCTGGGCACACAGGGTCATACTTGCAAAATCTGCAAGGCAGGGAGGGTCAGTCCAAGAATTCTGTATCTGGCCACACCATCAATCAAGTATTTTGCAAAAACAAAATACCTTTTTTTATGTATATGAGTGTATTGCCTGAATGTATGTACGTGCAAACATGTCATGCAATGCCCCCAGAGGTCAGAAGAGGGCGTTGGAGTCCCTGGAACTGGAGTTATGGATGGTTATGCCATGTGGGAGCTGGGAATTGAACCCAGGTTCTCTGCAAGAGCAGCCAGTGCTCTTAACCACTGAGCCATCTCTCCAGCCCCAAAACCAGTATCTTTTTTTTTTTTTGGAGAGGGTGTCTTTTTGAGACAGGGCCTCCATGTAGCCACAGCTGGCCTAGAATTCACTATGTAGACAGGCTGGCCTTTAACTCACAGAGATCTGCCTGCCTCTGCCTCTGCCTCCCAAGTGCTGAGATTAAGGTGTGTGCCACCACGCCTGGCTAAAACCAAAATATCTTTAACCATATATGAACTCAGAAAATTAGTATTAATACTGACAGAGCCTCTTGTATACTATCAGGGTGGCACCTGTGGAGGGGAGAGAATAACTTTTAAGAGTTGGTTCTTTCCTTCTACTACAGGTTGGAGGGAGACTTCAAACTCAGGCTGTCAAATTTCCACAGCACGTGTTTTTAAGTATAAGCGTTCAAGGAAGAGGGAACAGTATTGGAGAAGAAATCGTGCTAGAAGCTCGGAGGCTGGAGGACCAGCACAGACTGTGTGAGCTGACCTCTGTGCTGGCTAGTGGCCACAGAACTGGGGAGGGCAGGTCTACGCCATCCTCAACAGTGCAAGGAACTCCAAAGAATATCCAAAGATATCTGAAACTGTCTGGGTGAAATCCATTTCTTTGTTTGCTAACCAGAAAATTAATTTAAGAAAAAAAAAGAATGTAGGGCTGAAAAGATGGCTCAGCAGTTAAGAGCACCTGCTGCTTCTGCAAAGGACCCAGGTTCAATTCCTATCACCCACATAGCAGCTACCAACCATCTGTAACTCCAATTCCAGGGAAATCTGATGCACTCTCCTGACCTCTGCAGGCATTACATGACATGGGTGTACTTACATGCAGGCAATACTACTCATAAACACAAAAATAAAATATTAAAATACATTTCTTTAAAAGAAGAGAGAAGAATGCCAGGAACTCTGTCTAGTGGCTCAGGACATGGCACAGCTTTGATCCAGATCCACAGTACCACCAATAAGTGGCTTTTAATTCTTACCTTCACCAAAATCACCCCAAAAGTTCTTTCTTTCAGAGCTACAGCCTGAGCTACACTGGGCATTTTTCAAGGGAATCAAGGATTCAGACATTTGCCCCTAAACTAGTGAGGCAATGAACCAATGATCAACACTCAGTGCTACTGAGTCTCCCTGGCACATCTAAACCAAGCTCTGTCTTCCCTCTAACAAATCTCTCTCACGAGTCCCACCTTATCCAACCCATGACGGCTATGCACTGTCCTTGTGAACATCAGCATCATCAATTCCTGAGACGCAGTCTCATCACAGAGCCCAGCTGATCCCACCTCCTGCATCCCTGCTACATATACGTAAGCTACTATCCACCTGCATTTGCTTAAAAAAAAAAAAAAAAAAAAAGCTGCTGCACAGACAGCAGCAGTGAGAAGCCACACTCCAGGCAACATGCACTACAAATTTAGTGGCCTCATGCAGAAGTTGGTTGGAGCATAGGTTTCGGAAGCATATACCCCACAGGGATTAAAGGACACCCACCCACCCATATTTCCCACGCTGACTAAACTGACCTCCAATATGACTGCATATGATTATGTTGAGAACAGCAGCGTTCCATAGCTGCAGAATTTTTCCAGAAATCTGGCGGTGTGCCCACCCATCTGAAATGAGGCCTCATCAAATGCTTTACCGGGCAACCACGGCACCGGCTCCGGGTGGGGCCGTCTCTGCCTGACCACCTTCTACATGGCTTCCCAGCCCAAAAACAAATGAATCTGCTTGTGGAGGACTGGTTTGCTGTATGGCGTAAACCCTTTGAATTAAAAGAAAAATCAGCGAAGCTTCTTTGGCAACAGACGAGATGGGAAGCATTACAGAGTGTGTCTGTGGGATGTCCACCCTAAGTGACACATCTTCAGGGCAACCACGGCACCGGCTCCGGGTGGGGCCGTCTCTGCCTGACCACCTTCCACATGGCTTCCCAGCCCCAAACAAATGAATCTGCTTGTGGAGGACTGGTTTGCTGTACGGCGTAAACCCTTTGAATTAAAAGAAAAATCAGCGAAGCTCCTTTGGCAACAGACGAGATGGGAAGCATTACGGAGTTCCACCACCGGTCATACAGAGTGTGTCTGTGGGATGTCCACCCTAAGTGACACATCTTCAACGGAACCGCTACACCTACGGCTCATGGAACATGGCAGAACAAGGGATAGAGAGAATACTGATGCATCTGTCAACTCTCATCAGTGAGGCTTTCTCATGCAACAGAGAGTGATTATCACAGAAAGCCACAGCGTCGAGAGTAAGAGTCTGCAGAGTGCGGGCCCTGGACAGGACTCCTGTATTAAACCTCACCCACCCAGGGCTCAGGGACCACTGCAGAAGACAAAAGCACAGAACTGGGGACATGGGCAGCAGGCCCAACCTCAGCTGAGGAGCTACTGGCAGCTGATCACTGCTGAGTGAGGGAGAGCTGATTTTTAAGGGAGGGACTCTAGATAGGCTGACTAGACCCCAGTGGATGAACTTGCACTGAGGGATGTCTGGGGACACTAACTTGACTCAAGAGACCTTAACATATTAAAAAACAAGAAAACAAAACAGAATGCAAGTGTGTGAAGGTACCAGCAGCAGCAAGGCCAGGTGTGGGAACAGGAGCGATCAACTGTGACTAGGACAGTGCCTATGGCCCCCTCCCCTCACGCCCCCTTCTACTTCATGAGGACTGGCTCTGTGAGTCTGATTTCTCTTAGTTTGCACACAGTCTTCAAGTGTGAGCCTATGGCTGGGCTGTGGGTAATTCTAATGGAAGAAGCGAGCTCCTCTCCATGTACTACACTGTACCCCATATGCAAGGGAGCGGCTCTGCCGCTGCTGAAGCTTCCTACACGAGAGAGGAAAACGGCTTTCTTCTCACTATTATCACACAGGCTTTTCCTGTGAGAGTCTCACCAGTGGCTCTGACTACGATTTTTACTTCACACAATTTTAAGAACAAAAGATGTGGCTCCCTCGTGCCCATTCCTCCCTCCATTCAGGCTGGCATCACCACTCACTGGTTATTATACAGACCAGGCAGAGGGCTGGGGAAACAGCTCAGTAGGTAAAAGGCCTGAGTTCAACCCCTAAAACCCATGTGGAAAAGCTGGATGTGGTGGCATGCTTGCAATCCCAGTACGGAAACAGGCAGACGGCTGGGGCTTGCTGGCTGGACTAGCCTACTTGGCAAGTTGCAGACCAGTGAGAGAAACAAAGGAATAAATGTAATTTTTAAAAGCTTTCTTTAAAGAACAAAAAAGCTTTTTAAAATAAGATAGAGGCACCAAAGAGATGGTTGAGCAGTTAAGAGCACATTCTGTTCTTCCAGAGGACCCTAGTTCAGTTCCCAGCACCGACATCCAGCAGCTCACAACTACCTATAACTCCAGCTCCAGGATCTAGCACCCTCTTGTGGCCTCTGTGGGCACCCACATACATGTGTGGCATGTACACATGCACACACACACACATGCACACATGTACATATACATATACACACAAATATAAACCTGAAGGCAACTTAAGAAATTCCTCAACCACATCGTGCAAATAAACTGAGAATTTAGAGCACAGTTTGCGCAACTCAACATTCTTCTGTTTTCGTAATAAATTTGACTGTTTCTGAAAATTCACTACAGGTGCTCATTTTTCACAAATGGATTTTCTAGGCTCACATAAATACCAACTCCAACTCCTTCCTGGTAAGTGATTATATTTTGCCACCGTGTGTGTGTGTGTGTGCGTGTGTGTGTGCGTGTGTGTCTGTGTGTATTCTGTGTCTGTGTATCTATGTGTGTGTCTGTGTGTGTCTGTGTGTGTAGGGTCCTGTGGCATGTGTCTGCACTTGGCCTCAGACCTCACACTGGATGCCCCTTATGTAGAACAGAGGTGAGCTCCTGGCACAATTGGCTGAAGCAGGCAGAAGGGAGCAGCTGGGTCTGTGCCCAGTCCCAACATCCTGTCCAACAGGTAGTAAGTGACATGCTAGAACAGGGTAAATGCCAACCCTGGCAGCTGGGAATCTGAGGTATGTTTTGGCCATGCAGAAAGAGCCGCACACTGTCAGTTTCCTGGCTCCATTTATTTAACGCAGCCACTGTGTGTGTACAGGAGAGAGAACAGAGGCCTGTACGACAGACACAGCAGCCACCCGTAGCATCCCAGGCTTGAAGACACTGAGGGAGGAGAACAGGGCATCCTCGGAGCCTTAACAGACACTAAACACACACAGACACTAACTATCAGCCTCGAAGTTAACACTTTAAACCAGATGATTCTAGAACATGTGTAGTAAAACATTTAAAAGAATTCTATCCAGGACCATTTGACAATGTACTTACATAGAAAAATCCAAAGCTAAATTATGCGGGCTTTTAATATGTTAGATGGCATGGCTATTTATAAAGTAAGCATTTTATACATGCAACTGCTTTTAACTTAAAAAGAATATTCCCGGGAAGGACACCTTATGTTGAACAGAACCATTAGAACAGATCTCCTAACTAAGACCTGTTCCTTCTCCTTTTTCTACAATATGTATACGAACAAGAGCCCTAAGCACTCAGCTGTTTCATTTTACAGTAACATCTGAACCCTAGAAAAAATGACATCTTCACTCAGTTTTCTCTGATGTAATAAGTGAAATAATTGTAGTATAGAGTTACTTTCAAGGACGCTGAAGGACCTGAAGGACTCAGCAGGTTTCCTACCCCAGGCCGCGTCTCCTTCCCTGCACCATGCTCTGGAGGCCTGTTTCAGTGCTTACCCTCCTCCCAGAATCCAGTGATCCTCACATGGCTTTGACAAATAGAGAAGACCCACCGGGAAGGTTTCTAGAAAAGGGCTTCTGAATCTTTAAAGGCAGTATGCGAGGAAAGCCTTCCCTTCTACCACTGAGTAGAAGAATCAGGAAGCTGGGCAGTCCCTCTAGTGCCCGGGAAGCAGCAGGAGAGGTCATCCTGAAAGACCAGCTCCAAGCTCCTGAAATCAGCACCCAGCACAGCCAGGCTCCTGCCTTCCCACGCTATAAGACAGCAAACCCCTTTGGTTCTGGGCATTTTTATTGGGCTTCTGGTATTTGCCTCCAAAGCAGCCTGATTCATGCCAAAGTCTTTAGAAGGAATAAAAAACTAGGGAAAATATCTTGTGCTTAAAATCTAAGTAATTTGGTAGGGCTGGAGAGATGGCTCAGCATTTAAGAGCACTTGCTACTCTCACAGAGGACCCAGGTTCAATTCCCGGTACCCACATGGTGTCTAACAACCATCTAACTCTAGTTCCAGGGTGCATGCAGTACATACACATGAAGGCAAACACTCATGCACATAAAATACAAATAAATGTTTAAAAATAAAATGAAATAATTTTTTAAAATCTAAGTAATTTGTAATTCACAATTACTCACCATTAAAAAGTAATGGTCCTCAGGTTCAGCTCGAAGGTATTTAAAAACCACCTGTTCCATGAACCTTTCCATGAGATCCCAGTCTTCAATGATGCCATGCCGAATGGGCCACTGGAGCAAGAGAAAGATCATAAGATAAAATACACTCAACAGCTTCACTGCACAGCACGAGCTCAGAGGGGCTGGGTCCCCACGGAATAGGAAGCTGATGCTGATTTATGTTAAGGAACAACAGAGCTTAGGAGAGACGAAGTCACACACCACTTCTTTAAATTTATTTATCTACTTTTATTTTATGTGCATTAGTGCTATGCCTGAATATGTGTGAGTGCACCCGTGTTGTGCAGTGTCTGTGGAGGCCAGAAGAGGACGTCAGATCCCCTGGAACTAGAGTTATCGACGGTTGTCAGCCACCACGTGGATGCTGGAATGCGAACCCCAGTCCTCTGCAAGAGAAGCCAGTGTTCTTAACCACTGAGCCACCTCTCTAGCCTTTTTTTTTTACAGAAGAAATACCTGCTTTACTGGTGAGGAGGTGAGGACAGATGAACTCTTAGAAACTGCTTATGGGACTCCAAAGTGATGCAACCATTATGGAAGCTAGTATGGGGGTTCCTCAAAAGAACTAAAAACAAAACTACCATGTGACCCAGCTGGATCACTCATGGGTATATACTGGAGAACTCAAAGTCAAGGTCTACATAGCACAGAAACACCTGCACACTCATGTTTCTTGATGAACTATTCACAACAGCTAAGAAGTGGAACCACACTGCATGGCCATCAACAGATGAATGGATATTTTTTTTAATTTTTTTAGAAGAAGCATTTCATTACAGCTTTAACATACTCAATAACAGTTTCCAGAGCAAAGATACATCGCTTTCAAAAGTGGCTATAACATTTTTAGGTTCACTGTTGAATTAGTACAGTTATACAATATTGAACTCAGTATAAGCCCTGTAACACATAAAATTGAATGAGTTTTTAACCTTTAAAAAAGATCTCCATTTCATTTTAAAATATACTGCTTCTTATAGAAAGACTCATTCTTTTGGCTAATAACACAGAGATGTTGGTGCATGTGTCTCTCATCCGTATGTATCTGATTATTGCTAGTCATAATCGGTTGCACTCGGATCCTTCGCACCTGCGTATGTATAAAGTCATCGGGTAGATTTCAATGGTAATGTTTATCACCGCTACTAATACGACGTAAATTTTTATGTTTCCTCCTCAAATATAACTCATTTTTTTAATTTGTTGATTTTTTTTGGTGTGTATATCACACAGAACATCCCAAACCATCTTATTCAACTGTACACCCACTTCCCAGATGGCACCCTCCCATAGCCTCCCTTCCCCCACTAGAGCCCTTATACTCTGATATCCCTGCTACTGTCTGCTGTGTTGTCGGCACCCCAGCCATTCTCCACTACTTCCCCTTCTGGTGAATCCAGTCAGCCTATCTAGAGATCCTTGTTTTAGGAGGGTCAGCTGTTCCTCGTTTAGTGGCAATCAGTTGTCAATATTCCTTTAGATAAGATTGGTGTCTGCTGTTCATTTTCCCAGTTCTATGCTGGGTTACTATCTGGGAGTCCCTTTGGCCACCCTGGCCAACAACTCAAAAGAAGGTATCCCCTACCTGGCATTGTTGCTTGTTATATAGCCTTTAGCTATACATATGGACTCTCAGAAAATTATATTGGCCCCTTTAATCTTTGGCTATACTCTCCTTTTGGGTGTTTAAGACCATACAATTGGCCCAGATAAACCAATTTATTTTTACTCGTAAGGCCATTTGAGGATCTGTTCCTCAGGGGTCACATGGGCTTGGGAGGAGCCCCTGGCTCATTTCTTTTACCATTTCCGCCTATGTGAAGATAAGTCAAAGGTCCTGCTCGACCATAGCTAGCTTCATTTGGAAGCATAGAGGAAATGATTCCTCTGTGTTGACCCTCCTCGTTGTAGACTGGACACTGGTTCAAGTCCATCTCGTGGGGTCTCCTCGGCCTCCTTGGTCAAGAGGACAGGTGACCCACCACCATTATAGGACATTTTGAGAGATGCTCATAGTCCCCTGGAACTAGTTGACCTAGGAGGGCAAGGAGCAAAAACTGTCTTTTATGTCCCTCTGACCAAATTAATATAGGCCTCAAAATATGTCTGTTAAACGTTCAAGAAGGTTAGTTCCACCAGTCTGATACTTTTAATTACTGTGTGCCGTGTAGATAAATCTTGGGCAAAGACCAATTATGAACGGATTTTTTTAATGTACATATGCACAGTGGACTTTTATACAGCCATAGAGAAAAATGACACCAGGACATCTGCAGGAAAATAGATGCAAATGGAGATCATTATTAAACGAGGTAAACTAGACAGGCTGAGGAGACGGCTCAGCGGTTAAGAGCACTGGCTGCTCTTTTAGAGGACCAGGGTTTGAGTCCCAGCACCCACACAGCAGTTAACAACCGCCAATAATTCCAGCCAGGGGATCCAACGCTTTCTTCTGGCTTCCTCAAGCATTGCACAACATGGGTGCACTTACATACATGCAGGCAATACACTTATACACAAAAAATAACAACATAGCTAAATTTTGTCCTATTTTGAAAAAAGGGACACATGTATACACATGCAGATACACAGAGAGAGAGAGAGAGAGAGAGAGAGAGAGAGAGAGAGAGATGAATGAAAGGAGGTAGAAAGAGAACCATGAGAGGGGAGGAAGAGGCCCTAAGGGAGGAGGGAAGAATTATGGAATAGGGGCTGGAGAGGTGGCTCAGAGGTTAGGGGCACCAGCTGCTCTTGCAGAGGACCTGGGTTCAGTTCCCAGCACCCACATAGCAGCTAACAACCATCCATAACCCCAGTGCCAGGGGCTCTGATGCCCGCTTCTGGCCTTGAGCATTGCATACATGTGGTGCAATTACATACACAGACAAAACATTCATACACACAAAAATAAAAGTAAATAAAATACTAAAGAAAAGAATAATGGGATACATGTGCAGGAGGAAGATTTGGTGGGAGGAAGGGAACGAGCAGGAGGGGCCGGGGTGTATGAGGGAGGACAGCAGGGTGGCAGTGACTAAGACCAGTAAAATGACACGTGTGAGAAGTGATAATGCAAACATCACGTTGTATGCTGACGTAAAAGTAATTAAAATTGTTTTTAAAAAACAACAAAAAGAAGAAATAGCTGCTTAAATAATGTTAGTGTTTCTTCTGAATCGTTCACTCTGTGATTTTTTTCAGACCTGACAGGCTCCCTAGTCACTTGCAGTTTCCCAAGGAGGTCCTCCTTTCACACTGACAGCGTGTATCTCAGGGCTGTGTTAACTCACTTGGTTCCCCACTGCAAAATGCAGCTCTTCACAAACAGCCCCCTCTGTTCAGCTAGCCCCCTGCACCCCGGCATGGCAATCAGGCCACATTTGTTAGCCCACAAGCACAATATGCCCCTCTGTGCTTGAACAAGCGTCCTGCTCGCAGAAGTGTACCTTCGTGGCATAGGTGGGCTTATCGATGGCTTCGTCCCCTATGAAAAAGTCAAGGTCATCAACTCCTCTCAGCACCCTCCTTTGGGCCTGATCGACTACCTTTGCAGACTCTCTGATGGCAATACCTGAAGGGGGGAAAAAAAAGACCTTTTTCATAAGGATTTCATCACTACCCACATGCACGTGAATTACCCAGAAGAGGTAACACAATCCCTAAGTGTGTACAAGTTCATTCAGCACTAAGGTTTTATCCAGGTCGGGGTGCTCACAGAGCGACAGAGCAGCAAGTGAACAGTCCCAGGATCATTTTCAAGTTCGCAGGAACTTATCTGATCTGTTTTCAATGCGGACACAGAAGTCACATTGCTAAATTTCTCAGCTTCATTTGGAGAAATCTTTCAAGACAATAGGTGATGCTGATGGACCAGTATATGTAGATCGTAAAATACAGTGTAGAGGGGACAAACTTCTACACAATATGGACAAGGTGGGGAAACAGAAATAATTGCTATATGCTCTTAAGTCATTTTTGGGGGGTCTTCTTGAGACAGGGTCTCCCTGTAGCTCCAACTGGCCTGGAACTCACTATGTAGACCAGGCTGGCCTCCAACTCACAGAGATCAACTATATCACATAAGATCTTCATCTTAGGTATTTGAGACAATACTAAGGAATAAATAATTGTGTAAACTTCATTCCAGAATTTAGCATCCATTAAAGTGTGGAAAGGTTCATGAGTATTCAATTTCAAATGACACTCCTGACCCTGGCCACACTTGCTGGCAGGGCTCTGCAGAGGGCCATGCCTGCCCGACACCTGCCTGACACGCTGGCACCTTGGGGCACGTTCTGAGCGTACGTGGCTTTTCATTCCTCCATTAATGCATTTTCCCAAAGAATTACAACTGATGATTATTAGTCCACCAAGGAGACCATAGATTCCTCCACTGTCAGAAAATAAGTCTTCTCTAGAGACAGGCATGAGTTTCTGTAGTGGTGTGAATGAAAATGTCCCCCATAGGCTCCAAGTATTTGGACATTTTGTCCCCAGATGATGGCGCTGTTTTGGGAGGTCTTAGAAGGTGTGGCTATCCTAGAGGAAGCACATCGCTGGGGGTGGGCTTAGAGAGTTCTTAAGCCTTGCCGGATCTCCAGTTGTTCTTGCTTCCTGTACCTGTGTGATGATGTGAGAGCTTAGCTTCTGCTGCTCCTGCTCCAGCCACCTCCAGCCACCATGGCTCCCCGCCATGATGGACTGTTATTCCCCTAGAACTGTAAGCTCAAATAAACTCTTCCTTCTATAAATTGCTTAGGTCAGTGTTTCTATCACAGCAACAGAAAGGTAATATAGTTTCCATCACTAAATGACAAGGAATCATGTTTATTGAGTACTCCGCTGTTCCCTTCTGTGTGTGGTTTCCCTGAGTCCTCGTAAGAGCCTGGGGTAGGTGACACTTCAGAGGTTAGGGCTGTGCTGCTTTCAAGACAGGGCGTCGACATAAGCCTAACTCCATAACTATACCAAGAGAAACTTGAGAGGGGCTTAATTCATGTGTGGTGAAAGAAGCCTGTCACCAGCACAGAGGCCAATGAAAGCCTCTCAGAATGACGCCTGAAAATCCTGTGTGCACGTCCAAAGGCAGATACGTAACCCTTCTCATGCGAGCTCGCCCTTCAAGCCCAGGCAACTTTATTTTCCACCTGGCAGCTTCACCAAGCAGAGCCCCATTTGAACCCGGGGCTCAGCACTTCGAGCTGCCATCCTACCGGAAGCCCTCACCACAAAAGGAAAGGGGCACATTCCACCATTATACAGGGCTGCAGGACCAAACAGCACAGGGCACAGACACTTCAGCAGGCAGAGAAGAGCCAGTAACAACACTGACCACACTCAACTCCACACTGAAACTGTGCTGCAACATGTAACAGGCAGCAGAAAGGATCAGTTGGGGAGAAACTGGGAAACATTGTAACAATCCAACAATTCCACTTCTAGAAATTCATCCTAAAGGAGTGGTCAGAGTGAATAAAGGCCTAGATACAAGGATTCTCTTTGTAGACTACTTGTAACAGCAGTAACAGGGTTAGGGGGCTAACCCATCTTAAGTCAGAGATCAGTGAAACTGTTATCAAAGCCTTAGAAAGAGCTACAAAGTGGCCTTTCCCAGAACCATGAAGCATGGCCCCACTTTAGAAACTTTACAGTCACGCACACATTCATGGGTCTGAGATTCTAGTCAAAATATTACTACTGGCTAACTCTGGGCAGACGGTTCACAAGTGACGGTTGCATTCCTCTACTAAGTATGCTTATTTTTCAATTATAGATGTAGAAGGCAGGATATCAGAAGAAAATTGTGTGTGTGTGTGTGTGTGTGTGTGTGTGTGTGTGTGTAAGCTAAAGCATTTTAGCCTGGTTACCACCCAAATTCACTTACCCTAGCAAGCATGTCCAGCCTTTTGATTTTGCTACACCAAGCTATCATCTACAAAGTTCACAGACAACTGTACAGTTGAGTTACTGTAAAAAAAAAAAAAAAAAAAAAAAAAAAAACCCTCATATTTTTAAGTGAGTTTACAACTCTGTGTTGACCGTATACCCTAAGCAGCACGAAGCCACACATGGCCTACAGGCTGCAGGCTGAACACGCTATTAATTCCAAAGTAAAATAAGTCCAACTACAAAACTGTCTCAAATTGGAAGCTATTAATCTTAAAGTTAATGTCAATCTTAAAAATCATTACAGTGCTGGCAACACGGCTCAGTGACAAAGGTGCTGTCCCCAATCTGGGTGACCAGAGCCCTCCAGGACCCACAGGTGGAAGAAGAGAGCTGACGTTTACAGGCTGACCTCCCTCCTCTGCATATGCCGTTATAAATGCACTCATGCACATACCACAGACAGATGACAGACGACTAGATACATAGATAGATGATAGATAGACAGATAGATCATAGATAGATGATAAATGACAGATATAGGTAGATAGATGATAGATATATAGATAGATGAAAGATAGATAGGTGATAGATATATAAATAGATGATAGATTGGATAGATAGATAAATAGATAGATAGTAGATAGATAGATGATAGATGGATGAATGATAGATGATTTGTAGATAGATGATAGATAGATGATTGATACATAGGCAGACAGACGGATGTGAATGATAGATGATTGGTTGGTAGATACATAGATGATAATACATAGATACATAGATGATTGGTAGATGATAGATGATGATGATGAAGATAGACAGGTAGATAGATGATAGATAGATGATAGATAGGTAGATAGATAGATAGATAGATAGATAGATAGATAGATAATAGATGTAAAAACATTTTTTCAAAAAGCCAGGCATGGTGGCACACACCTTTAATCCCAGCACTTGGGAGGCAGAGGCAGATGGATCTCTGTGAGTTCAAGGCCAGCCTGGTCTACATAGCGAGTTCCAGGCCAGCTGGAGCTATGGGGAGACCCTGTCTCAAAAAGACCAAAAAAAAATTTTGCAAAACAAGTATATATACACCTGCAATAATTTCCCAAATTAGATTATCTGAAATCCCCAAATTATTACAAAGCGAGAATTAAAACAGCACTGAAGAGTGAACTGGATTATTTTTCTCAAAAAAGCATTTTGAAAAGAAAAGTACAGGGTCACTCTCCTGACAAGATCCGGTTTATTTACGTATACATTTCTGATTAAGCAGCAAACATAACAGACTTCACAGTGATGTTGCGGGAGGGAAGGATCTGCAATTCATGACGTCACTCAGCTTCACCAAGAATGTGAAGGCAACATATGAACCAAAAGAAAAAGAAAAACCTAAAAAAATCACTAAATTTAGCAAGAATGAAATAAAGACAAAAATTTTAATGAAAATAAAGTAAATCTTATCCCTCCCAGGAAAGTAACTCTCAGTACCGAGCCCAAGTCATAATAGAGGCATGAGAGGAAGGGAGAGAGGAAGGGAGAGGGGGAGGGCGAGGGGAAGGGAGAG